TAGTTTGAATATTAAAGGTTCTAAGTAGTGTTTTGATATTTTCCGATATTGGTCCATAATATGGAAAAACTATTTTCTTAACTAATGTATTACTACTATTGTTAACATTGTTATTTTTATTAGAAAATTTTCTATTATTAATTTCAATAATTCTTTTATTTACATGTTTGTTAACAAAATGGTCAGGATAATTAATAAGTTTCAAATCTAGTTTGATTAAATTTATGTTTTTATTATAAAATTTTTCATGGGAAAGTATCAAAACAGTGTCAACAAGATTCTTAACAATTGCATTTTTTTGTTGCATTGGATGATTTTAGTGATAGTTTAATAGTCTTCCTGAATGGATATCATTTCTGTACCAATCAGTAATAATATTATCGTTTTCAGATCTTATAATCATTAAATTTAGAAAATTAATTTCATTATTGCATTCCACTTCATGAGTGAACTGTAGTTTATTGTGAAAGGAATTGAAGGTATCAACAACTTCAGATACTTTATTAATTGGAGCACATAAAAAAGTGTCATCCACATATCTTTTATATGAAATAATTGGGAAATCTAAATTATTAATGATAGTTTTTTCGAAGTCTTGCATAACTATGTCAGCAAGAATTGGAGAAATTGAAGCACCTATTGGCGTGCCAAATTTTTGTCTATAATATTTATTATTGAATTGAAAAAACATATTGTTCATAATAAATACAATACAATTCTTGAATTCATCTTTAGGAATCTTAGAACATTTTTAATATATGACCATCTGTCATCAATACCCTTCACAACAAGTTCAATAGATACATTAGTGAATAAGGACGAAACATCAAGAGACAACATAATATAATAATGTGGGATTTTTAAATTACTAATAGATTCCTTGAAATAGAACGAATTTTTTACGTAAGAAAAAGGTTCAGGTAATGACTTGTTCAAAATATTTGTAAAAAATTTAGACATAAAATATATAGGAGAATTAATGGTTGAAACAACAGGTCTAAGCGGACAATTATCTTTATGTATTTTTGGTAAGCCATAAAATCTTGCCAAATTTGTGTTTGAAGTTATTAAATCTTTTCTTTTTATATTCTTATCTAAATAACCATTATTTCTTAATTTATTAAAAACTCTTTTTTGTAAAGGCACTAAAGAATTTTCAATAATTAGATCATATGTATTTTTATCACTTAGCATGGAATTTGTCTTATCAAAATAGTCTTGTTTATTTAAAATAACCGTTGTGTTGCCCTTATCGGCCTTAGTAATAAAAAGTTGTTTATTAGTTTTCAGAAAATTTGTGGTTAATTTAATATGTTTTGCTATGATTTTATCAGAATGTGAAATGATTTTAGGATTCTTTATAATAACAAGAACTAAGAGTTAAAACCTTATGTCTAATCTCCTCTCTACTTTCCTTTGGAATACTCATTAGGCCATTCTCCAGATCTTTAACAATATTAAAAATAGGTGAGTTTTTCGAAGTTATAAATGTAGAACTAAAACTATCCCCTAATCTTAAAATGTCATTTATCTCATCTAGTATAAAAATGTCAGTATAATTTTTGATCCATGGATCATTGATATTATTTTTAAGAATTTTATTATGTAAATTTAATTCAAATTGTTCATTGTTAACATTGCTATTTTTATTAGAAAATTTTCTATTGTTAATTTCAATAATTCTTTTATTTACATGTTTGTAAACAAAATGGTCAGGATAATTATTAAGTTTTAAATCTACTTTGATTAAATTTATGTTTTTATTATAAAATTTTTCATCCCTTTCATAAGAACCTTTATTTAATTTTTTTCTAATTTTTCTTGTTTTGTTTTTAATTTTATCTTTATTTTTATTCTACTTTTTTCTAATTCAATTTTTATATTTTCTGACTCCAGACTGTACTCCATCGTCAGGGTTTTAAATTTTTAAGTCTTCGTATATTTCAATCACTAATTTTTTGGTAATGTATTTTATTTATTTTTATTTATTGTTAAAGTGGTTTTATTATTGTTTTTAATTTTGTATATATTTTTTGAATTGACTCTTTGAAGAGGAAATCGATTTAAATTCGAAACGTTGGAGTAAATAAATTTGTTATTCGTTGTCCGAATGTTTTCGTTTTATTGATTTATTTTTATTCAATTATAGTTTGAATTTATCTAAGCGTAATATAAATTGTTTTTAATATACAAATTCAATATTATACGAAAATTATTACGAATTAAGTCTTTGATTTGGATTGAATGTTGATTGTTTTCTACTGTCTGTGGATTGTATATATTTACAAATTCCATATTATTATAAGATTTATTTTCGGACTGGATTGTTTTGATTAGATATTATTCAGATTGTCGCTGACTATTACTGGATTCTTTTCATACAGATTTTGGATTATTCCGTATTTATTTTAGATAATTTTTGTACCGGACAAAATTTAGGATTGTTGTGGAATAATTACTGACTTAATTCATAGACATTCAAGATTACTCCAGACTGATTTAGGATGAAGTATTGAAGTATTATTGATGTCAGATTAACGTGAATCATTTCCGGTTATTTTTCGTACAATTATCGGACTAATCCATACTAATATGTTCGGATTTAATCCATATTAGTCCGAAATTTTAAGCAGGGATATAATATGATTCGGGTGGCCGACTATTTCCGGATTCATAGCATTTATATATTTCGGATTGTTTCGTATTTGTTTTGGAATAGGATTTTACCATATTAATTCCAAATTGAAGCGGACTAATGTCGGATTCTTAGCATACAGATTTCGGATTGTTTCGTACTTGTTTCGGAATAGGATTTTGCCACACTTAATTTCAAATTGTAGCGTACTAATATAGGATTTCTTGCTTACAGAGTCCGGATTGCTCCGGACATTTTGCGGATTAAGTTTTCTTACTGTGCAATTCCACGCCACTTCGACAGTGTTTTGGAGTAAGCAAATGGATTTTAATAAAACTCAGAGATTGTAATCTATATATAAAAAGAAATATTTTCACCAAAAATGAAGTCAAAATATTCGGTACTTTTTGAGATAGCAAAATTTTGAAAAAATTTTGAAAGCATTATATGTCCCATAAAACTTAATAAAAACTAAAAAATTTTTTTTTTAAATTCAGGATGAAAAAACGAAAAAAAATGTTAACAATGTTTATATAAAATTTTGTTAATTAAAAAAGTTATTTACATAATTTTACTTAACTTTTAAGCGGCCAGTTCAAATTCTATTGTTTAAAGAGAAAAATTAACTTGATTGTTTAATATTTAATATTCCAAAAGAAAATTTATATACCACCAAGAAATTTTCAAGTTATTAAACATTTTATTTTGCTCTCAAACAATATTACAGACAACAAACAGACGACATAGGCTGCGCGCGCATCTTTCGTCTAGTCTTAGCAAAAATGTCTTCCTCTAAATCAGACGAAAGATGCGCGCGCAGCCTATGTCGTCTGTTTGTTGTCTGTAATATTGTTTGAGAGCAAAATAAAATTTTTAATAACTTGACAATTTCTTGGTGGTATATAAATTTTCTTTTGGAATATTAAATACTAAACAATCAAGTTAATTTTTCTCTTTAAACAATAGAA